ATAATGTGAAGTATATGAATACAGAATGTTAATGAGTTTGTTGGTTGTAATCTCAAACAAGTTTTGGTTGTTAGTCCACTTCTGGACTTTGTATTCGTGTCTCGCCCCTCATCGCTCTTTTTTAACCTATTTAAACATAAATAAACTTGTCTGTACTTAATTACTGTGGGTAAAGTTAGAAGTAAAATGAACGAGCAGTTTCCATGTCAAAAACTAATAAATAAATACCTGCAGATAATAGTACTACTATGTAAGGTTAAAAAAAAATCGTTTCCATCCATGATAAGGAAAAGACTTAGCAGGATAGAACATCGTGAAAGGATGAACAGCGAGCCCCGTTTGACGTAAAAACAAGATGATGATGACAAAAATATATGATCTTACGAAGTTACCTAACTTCTTTCATTACCCTAAACAGGCTCAACAAATATTGTTTGTGTTCCCCTAACAGTACCATTTACGTTATGTTGTGTATTGTTCTGTAACTTTTAATTTAATGTACGTTCCGATACTTGCTGCAGTCATTATTGAAACTAGCAATGGTACTGCTGTCTTGTTATTTACAGTCATAATCATGTAGCAGGTCCTTTGCAGAACGTCGCTCTCTTCACGGTCTACATGTGAGAAACTCGGTCTCTCTCCTGCTTTTCATACTCAAGGAGTCACTTATATCCTGTGCTCATCTTCGTGTTGGTCGGCCCCTGCCCCTCCTTCTTGGTACCATGCCTTCTGCTATTATTTTTTTTCCAATCCGTCGTGGCGCTTGATATGACCAAAATATTATTTACAGTATCCAGACAAATAACTACAAGTTTTCTATGAGCTTCATTTGGTTGAAATTGCTTTCGTTTCATAAAAGAAGGCCTGTTGGTAATTTTAAAAAAAAAACTGGCCTGAACTTAAGTGTTATTCCAGCTTTAAATGGGCACCAGGTAACACCGTGGGTGCTGTTGTCAACACCACGACGGTCGCCCTTACTTCCCAGGACATTGGTAGCAGGATAGGATTTACACTTGATGAGACCTTAGGATATTTGAAAGCCTAGAGGCCTCTACTGTTTAATTACACTAGCTGTATTGTAAACGTTTAAATCTTTATCATGTAGCAGGTCCTTTACAGAACAAGCTTTCATCAAGGTCTGCCTGAAAGAAACTCGGTATCTCGCCATCTCTCCCGCCTCGTGTACTTTCAGATTCAAGGAGTCACTTATATCCTGTGCCCATCTTCGTTTTGGTTGGCCCCTGCCCCTCATTCCTGGTACCATGCCTTATTTTGTCCAATCCTCATTTTAAATATGTGGATGATGGAGATATACTGTCGTCTATATTTTAGTAAAATAAAAAAAAAAGAATGATTATGCCTCATCATCATCAAGTGCCTTGCCGACTGACGTGGGCGATCGTGCCTCTCCACAATCTGCGATCCACAACTATATGTATTAGTTCGTGTGTTCACACCGCTCCATGCCGTGACAGAAGACTGTCAAGAATCTTCTTACACTGCCTTCACACTGCCTTTCTCTCTCTCTCTCTCTCTCTCTCTCTCTCTCTCTCTCTCTCTCTCTCTCTCTCTCTCTCTCTCTCTCTCTCTCTCCACTGATCTTTCCAGTGATCACAACATGTTCCAGTTTCCATCTTCTCATAACATGACCATACAATGATGACTGTCTCTTTTTGATATTTGTGATTAAGTTGTCTTCGAGCACACACCTCTTTCAAAACATCTGGGCTGCTCTTGTTAGCTGTCCAATGAATTCTAAGGACTGTTTTGAAAAACCACATCTCCGAAGAGGCATAGCCGTGTTTCGCCAAGCTCAACTCCAGGGTCACGCAGTGGTGTTAGCGTCAGAGATTCGCCATTATCACCCAAACTAGTCTGTACAGCGTTTCTATTAGCTGTGTCCATGCTTCTTCCCGTTTGCATAGGTGCGGACTGCGTACCATTGCGTGGCGCGAAAAAGAAAAACCGGCTGCTGCTTTTAGAGACGATTATGTATCGGTATTGCCTATTGTTCATTCCCCCCCCCCCCCCCCCCTGGTGGCATTCTTGTTTCTTATTTATTCGCTACGTCTTCTGTCTGGAATTCCCAAGTTACTATTTTACCTGTCAGATTGATTCATATGTTATGTCGATGGTCGGGTAATCTATCTGTTTTATGTAATAATGTTTCAACCAATTTCTGTACAGCTTAGGCAGCTCGCATATCATCATCTAGTGTCTTATCGACTGATGTAAGCTATCATGATTGTCCACATCCTGTCATATCCCCCAGCAAGTATCATTTGTTCGTGTCTTTGGTTTGTTTGTTGTCCGTATCGACATCCTAGCACATCAGTCCCACCCATACGTGCTCCGTCCTCCGATGTAGCAGCCATCTCATTGTCTCTTTGCTCAACGTTACCAGTAGGAGTTGACTGGCCTATCTTCTTTCTTTGCCACGCAGCCGGTTTCTGCATGCTTGTCCTTGTTTAATACCCATTTCGAACCAGCGGCTCATTGTCTCTGACTCCATCCCAAAATCTCTAAAACGCAGCTCATTCAGTATGTCTGCCTTGTCCATACTTCTTCATCCACCAGTCACTGCAGACACTTCATTCGTGTCCAGACACCTAGTAATACTATGTCTAAAGGCAGTCAATAATTTATTTTCGTTGTCTTCCTCTATCCCTTTTTCACTCACAAAATATGTCCGATTCTCGCAACATGCTCCTTATTTTTTCTTTTCCCAAAAAGTGACCAGAAAGGATGACTGCCTCTTTCTGGTGTTTCTGATAAGTTGCTTTTATGTGAAGTTCACTCTACATCTGTAACCGTAAGCAAGAAAATTATCAACTAAAACGGAACTCCTCTTACGGGGATTGCTAAAAGTGTTTTATAAATTGCGGACAGGTAAAACTGCAGATTTTAAGCAGATTACTTACACTGTTCCGTTGCTATTTTTTTTTAAAAACTGGTAACTGCACCAGGTTATGGCGGAATATTATATAAGTGTCTATATTTTGTATGTGCTAGTTACCATCTATGTGTTTCTGACACTGTTGGTATAAGAATTGCAATAAACACATACTTAACGCCAGAAAGACATCTATTGCATGTTTTGTCTTGATCTTGCGGGAGAGCAACTTTTATAATGAAATGTCTCACAGTCGACCGGGTCTGGAGAGGATGGGTAAAGAACTTTGGGGACAGGTCAAGCAATGAAATGGGGCTGATTGCCTAAATTTGTCACCAACAATTCAAGGAAACTGAAGATTTACCAATTGATTTTCTAAATGTATATAACAAAATGAAATAAAACAGCTGGTATCATATATTAACAAGCCACGTTCTGGGTATTTCGAGTGTCTACTTGATTTGTTAAATTGTTTGCAGTTGTGTTGACAGTGTCAGTGTTTTGTGGTTTAATTGCATATCACAAAGGACTCTTGCCATACAAGTAAGAAGCAGTAAATAGGCCACTTACATGTTAATAATATTTCACAAACACTGAGGTACTGGAAAGAGGAAGTTTCACAATTACTTCCTCAGTGCTCAGTCTCCAAAGCCACAAGTGGCTGGGTCATACTTGGAGAATGGAGGATGGTATAGTCCCTAAGGACATCCCCTTTAGTGAATTATAGATGGGCAGAAGATGAGACCGGCCTCTATTACAATACAAAGATATTTGCAAGCGGGAATTAAATACTAGTTACTGGGGTAGATTCGTAGGAATAAAATGATGTAGACAGTTTTGAGTAGAAGGTAATAAGGATAATGAAACAATGATTGAAGAAAATCCGAGAGCTGAAAAGAATCACCCTAAATCGTGGGAACAAAATACCGTAGACCGTGTTCAGTAATAGGGATAAGGAAACAATGAGGAAGAAAACCCGAGAGCTGAAAAGAATCACCCTAAATCGTGGGAACAAAATACAGTAGACCATGTTGAGTGGAAGGTAACAGGGATAAAGGAAACAATGATTGAAGAAAATCTGAGAGCTGAGAAGTACCCTAAATCGTGGGAACAAAATGCAGTAGACCCTGTTGAGTGGAAGGTAACATGGATAAAAGAAACAATGATTGAAGAAAATCTGAGATCTGAGAAGAAGAACCCTAAATCATGTGATAGCAACAACATTCCTTCCAGGAAGGGCAGTATGGTTTCCCATCACACCAGAGGTTAGGCAGGTGTGTGTCGGCTCATCCCTGCTCTTTGCTATTTATTTAAGTTGAAAATTACACAGGAGAGAAATGTGGACACAGGAAGTTAATGACGTTTTTTTTTTTTTTTTTTGGGGGGGGGGGGGGATATATGATCAGTGTCTGATACACAAACAAGAACAGAACTTACAAGATCACATTGACTCCTTGTAAGAGTGGGGGGGGGGGGGGGGTGCGAATTAAGGGCGTCCCGTGTGTCATCGCTGATGGGTTAACAAAATGGAAAAAATATGTATTTTTCAAAAAAATGTATATTTGGGAAAGGTGCGTGACAGGAAATTGTCCGCACGGGGTGGTGCCTGACCTTGCTAGCGCCACTGCGTGTATCGTAAATGTACGAAGTATGGTATTCAATACTATGATAACTGGGGGTAACGAGAATAGGTTGACAATTTAATTACATGAGCGTGCATGCAAGTGGCACCGCAATCAAACAACTGTAGAAATTGAAATACCACGCAAGCATATTTACAGATGACATACTGGACAGAGAAATAGAAGTAAATATAGAGTCCAGAAGACAAATGTTGTCACTTGTCAGCTAGCACAATTGCTTAGTCGCCTAAATTTCTCCATTCCAGCAAATCAGAAAACCCTATAAGAGTTATATCAGGGCATACTACAGTTACAAATTGTGAGCAAATGTTTTTTTTTTTTTTTTCGGAGTTTTTTTGTATAAAACCATTGAGACTTTTGTTTTTCGTTTCTTCGAGTTCGGTGAAAACTTTTTTAACATCTCCGGCAACACTGGGGGTGACATTTACCAACTGTTGTGGCTGAGTTGGAGAAACTGAGAAATCATGATATTTCTTTTAGCAAAGTCTCCGCTTCTGCTGCATGCACCAGCAACCAAAACAATCCCACAGCTGTTTAAAAGTGTGCTGAATAAGTCGAGTGGAGCTACAACGACCTGTGTCGCCCATCTGACTGCTCGCAGTGAGAGTGAAAAGCCTTCTCGTCGTAAAATATGGCCTTACAAGGAAAGAGGATTCAAAGAATGGCATGCCTTGTTTGACAGAGTAACTAGTCGTTTAGACGATAACAGTAAAATTATTGTTGTCGATGGAAATATCGCCAGCGGAAAAACAGAAATGGGCAAACAAATTGCGAAGGAATTCGACATGTTGTATGTGCCAGATTTCAACAACAAAGATATGTACTACTTTAGCGATGCTGGATACCCCGATGTTCCTCCCATAGATATCAGAGAATTTGACGAACAGCTACCCATGAAGGCCCGCACTTGTGATTTTGAAAGATTTTACTCACAAAAGGGGCCCAAAGAAGTGTTGAAGAATATTCCAAGAACACAGTATGAACTCTTCCGGAAGAAGGTGTTTAGATATGCCCTGACAGTTACTGCTCATCTTTTAAATACAGGTAAAATTACCTTGTTTTTTTTAAATTGTTTAATTAGCACATTTAACAAATATGCTTATTTAATCAGGCTATCCTCCGAATAACAGGCACAAAAGATGGCGGCCGCAAAAAATCCTAACGAGCCCCAGTCACCTGTCAATTGCGCACTTGCGGCAACTTAATTTGTGGTTTTCCGGTGACTAGCGCCACCTCCACGAGTGGATTGGGGCTAAACTAGATGGCTAGGACTCACAAGCAAAGCTGCAGGAGATGCGAAAGGCCTGCTGCTCGCGAGTCCTAGCCATCTAGCTTAGCCCCAATTCACGCCACATGAGCAGCGTGGGGAAGACGTGGCAGCAGTTGCCGGAAAACCACAAATTAAGTCGCCGCAAGTGCGCAAATGACACGTAATCCTAGTTTTGCCAAGATGTGCTTGTGACCGCAAGTGCGCAAATGACACGTAACTGAGGCTCTGTTAGGATGTTTTTGTGGCTGCCAAATTTTGTGCCCGTTTTTCGGAGGATAGCCGCTGCAGGAGATGTTGAAGCTGCTGCTCGTGAGTCCCAGCTATCTAGTTTAGCGCCGCTCCATGCATAGCGGCATAGGAGATACTCTTGGCGGTGGTGGTAAAGTCGCCGGTCTGCAATTTAAGTCGACGGAAGTCCGCAATTTACATGTAAGTGAGACCATGTCAGCGTGTTTTTTGGCCACCATAATAAGTGGCCGTTATTCGGAGAATAGCCGGCTTATCTAATATAGATCTAAATTAATTACTATGATGTTATGTCTTTTTCTAATGGTCCATCCCTGTATTTAAAAAGCAGGTGATTTTTAAAATTAAAAGTAGCCCTCAAACCTAACAAGTTTTGGCCACCACTGGTCTGTATCAACCTTTATTTTTTTTTTAAATTCATTCCTTAAGCACATCTGGCATATAGAGCTTGACCTGCCAGTCAGCTGTCCATGGATATTGTTGTCAACATCATGCCAGCCACCTTTACTTCCAAGGACATTATTTGGTACCAATTTTAGGCTGGGTCAACCTGGAAGCCAAGGTGGCTCAACTTCAAATGATGGGTCTGAGTGATCGTGTATACCCTAACAGAGCCTCACTGATATGTAAAATTAGGATTAATTTCTGGCAGATGTGGCAGGCAGACTATAAACTCTGACACAGATTAGCAATAATGTTCTTCTGATTGAAAAACTGGCAGCTGTAGATGTTATACCTGCCGACTTATATGTGTGTGTGTGCGTGTGTGTATATATATATATATATATATATATATATATATATATATATATATATATATATATATATATATATACACACAGCCCATACATACATAGCCCTAACACTCAAACAATTTAAGGATTATGGATGCAACTCAGACAGAAGCAAACTTGTTGAGGCTCTGTTAGGGTATATATTTAAGCGCGATCACTCAGACCCATTATTCAGAGAAGAGCCGCAAGGGTCAGTTTTGAGAAAACAATCTGTTTTGAGGTGATTTTGAACCCTAGACCTCTGGGATGACGTTAAAGCATTTAGCCGCTGCACTACTACAACTCCCCAGTCTTCTTCTAGTAAGTGCAAAACACCTTAGAAGGCTTTGAGAGGCATCTGTGTCGTCACACCAGTCTCAAGTTTTTTCCAGAAGTTTCCAGTTAGCAGATCTCTTTCTCTTAAGTGAAAATCATTGGGCAAGACTAGATTATAGAAATAGGATCACTATAGCAAACTAGATCTTGAACAAGATAGCAAGGGCATGTACTGTTACTTAGTCAGCTCTATTTGTATCATTTACCTCTAACAGTTGCCTCAGGTGAAAATTGTAAATGCTATCAAAGGATAAAGGTGAAGCTGGTTTGAACATGTTTGCACAATGCCTCAGGACATTCATCAAGGAAAGATTCCTGGTGGATGGCAGATGGCGAAAAGAGATGTAGGTAACCAAAGGAAACCCGGAGCAGGACAGTAGAAAAAAAATGAAAGAATGGAAATACCATTGGGCAGAAAAGCAGCAATCTGGCAGCAGTGGAGTTTCTTGTGAATGCCATGTGTGTCAGCAGGGACTTGAAGAGGCTCTAGATAGTTCTCTTTGTGTGTGTGTGTGTTTTTTTTCAACATATCTTTATTACATTTTCTAATCTGTGCATAGTGTTCTTGTCTCTTTATTTTGTTTTTGTTAGATGACCTTTCACAAAGGGGCATTTCACAATTTCAGGTCAAGGTGTGGTTATGAACAGAGGAATGTGGTCAGACATCATTTGGGCCTTGACTCTGACGAAGGAAGGCTACATGAGTAAAGGAGGTAGGAGGTATTTTGTATGTACATGTATATCTATAATATGTTTAATAGTTATGTGAATTTATAGAACCAGGCTCCTTCTTGTAAAAGGGCGGTTGGCATGTTGCTGTGGCTATGCAGCAATGTCTGAGCCTTTCAGTCCCAACAATTTAAAACATTGCAGCAAAACCATGATTAGTCATTATTTTACAATATGTTTGTTAGGGGTCAGTGGGTCTACCATATTTTTTCGCGTATAAGACCCCTCTTTGTGTGAAATGACCCCTATTTTTAGCCTAAACCTGAGAAATTAATTTTATAAACACATTCTATGTTTAAAATGACTCTAGATTTTAAACTTACAGAATTTTGGAAAACATGATTTAATCCCCGGAAAAATACAGTATTATTTCCATTAGTCCTGGGGCTCGTAAGGAATGCAAAGAATAGTAAAGTTGTGACCAACAAGCTTGTCATAAGAGGTTTTAAAAGGGGTAGAAAATTATAGGGAAGAGAAAAAGTGGTTAAGAAAAAACAAATAGTTTATGTTAGCTTTACAAAATCGATCACAATAAACTTACAAAGAACGTTGTGGCGATTAACCTTCATCACAACATAAAGAACAACACAGTACACATACACCAATATGCTCTAACTATGAAGTGACTACATAGGACTGTAATGTACAAAATAAATGGTACTCATCTGTGTCCCTGGCGAAAAACTTCGTTCAAGAGGATGAGTAGGACAGGTACTAGCCTATATATCACCAATTCGCGGACGAGAAGCGAAAAGCAGAGTCAGTATAACCGGGACGCCAACAGACACAACAGCGTACACTGAGTGTCTAAAGAGGGAGGAAGGGGTAGGCCAATATGGCGCAACCAGGGTGGGTCGTGGGGGTAACATTAGTCCATCCACATGGAATAAAATTGTTGCCTGTGCTAGTGAGCAAATGGGCATATGGCAGATATAGTCAACGCTGTACGAACTGGGCTGTGGAGAATGAGGAATCCCTGACACTAACACGATTGCGTGACATGGCAGTTAAGCATGGTGTTGCACATCTTTGCCGTCTTCAAGGCCAAGAAAGGAGACAATATAACCAGCTTCTTATGGGGACAATTAGTAGAAGTACTTTGGAGTGGCTGCTGCTTCAGAGAACTGAGCACGCATGGGTATGCCCAATGTGCAGTGACATCAATTGTGATAACAAAACATAAAATAACATCTTGTAGGGAGTCGGCAGTCCGAAACCCAAGTTCAAGGTGTCTCCTTCGTGCCAAAGAACTGCATGGCTGTTGAGTGAACAGTCGTTAACGATGGCAGGCAGGTCGTTGTAGGGGCGATGCCTGCTGGTGGATGTAATGTCCTAAGTCCCTTCCCCAGCTAATAATGAGGGTACTGCTGGGGTGACCGTTTATTAACCCTCATATAATGCTTCCGATCAAAATGGACGCTAGGCACAGCCACCTTTTTTTTTTTCTGCCAGACGGTGGCCGTTGCATTTTTGCTCCATTTGTAGACTGGAAGGATGTAGTTTCGTCGCCCAGCTTCTGAGTTGAGTACATGGTGTGACACTGTGAGCTGCGTTTGTTTTTTGTTGGCACAGGAGCGGAGCAACTGTGGGGTGACCCGTTTGCTATGAAGCTGAAACTAGGATTACCAGATTACCAGTGAGCAAATACCAACAGACAGGCAGGCATGCTGATAGATAGACAGACTGACTGACCGACAGACAGACACAGAGATAGATAGATAGGTAGGTAGGTAGGTAGGTAGGTAGGTAGATAGATTAGATTGTCATAAGAGGCAACAAAGAAGGGCTGCATGAGACTGGTTACCTCCTGCTGTAGAAAGCTGGCTGCCAAATCCCAACCAATCATGAACAAGTCCTCAGAGGATTTGGTCTGAGCTGATTAAAGGCATTTACTCCATTACGACATCAAAGAAGGTGTAATAGGTATTAGAGAATTATTTGCAAAAAGTAAGGACTAAGGGGGTGATAATGACTAACACATATCATCTTATCTATTTCCCTATTTCACCATTGGCTTATTCCGTGTGTGTGTTCTGGGGCTTCATTGCGGTTGGGGGGGGGGGAATACTGCCTAACAGTCATGTCATACAATATGACTAATTAGGGGAGTTTCCCTTGAACTTAGAGAACATCTGCCTGAGAGGTCAAGAATAGACTGTCTGCATACAAATAAGCCTGATCTGTACAACAAATGTGCACGCAGAAATCAAGTTATGGAACAAGACCAAAGTCCATAATGAACGAACCACCTAAACTTTCCTCTGGATTTTGCAGCCAGTGAATGCTCAGAATGCCTGTGTGTCACCGGGGCCCTCAGGGGAAGCAAAGAATAGTGACACTGCACCCTACCAGGCATGTCGTAAGAGGCGACTAAGGGTAGGGTTGGGCTTGAGGTTGGCTACCTCATCCTGTAAAAACCATAGCCACAAAAACCAACCAACCATGGATAAGTCAAAAAGAGAAGCAAGTAAAATCCAGCCAACCAAGATGAGGGGAGGCTCTTCAAATAGAAGAAGTATGACACAGTGTGGAGAAAGCCGTAAGGAGTCCGGGTCGTTGACGTACCTCCTCTCAGCTAGGAAAACCTCCAGAATTGGCACCTGGAATGTTAGAACTTTCTAATAAAGGAAGGCCAAAAAACACACGAAGAAGAGAGCTGGAGAATGAAGTTAGAAAGATGGGGAGGACATGGGGAGAGCTCCATGCAATGGCAGAGGATTGGGCGACTTGGCGTGATTTGGTTGAGGGCCTATGCTCCATTGGGGGATAGAAGGGCAGAAGAAGGAGAATGCTAATGTTTAAATTGCAGGTTAATCTCTCTTGGCTGGCTGTAATCTACAGCAGAAAGTTCTGGTTCTTTGTTAACTTTTGGACTGTGGTCTTGTTACAGAGCTTTAGTTTTTCATGCCATCTATTTTTCAGTTCTAATTTATTCATATGCAGACTGTTGGTTCCTCGCCTTTCAGGCAGCTGTGTTCAGACTTTAGTTGAATAACTCCTGATACGATATTGGCTGTGGGTCTATACTCCCCCCCCCCTCCTTAGCCTGTGATGAAGCTCCAGAACTCACATCCACATATATTTACATAATTGTAAACACTTGTCTTCTCTCTTCCCAAGTTCCTTTTCATATTTTCATAATTACGCATTCATCTTACTGGTTTGTTTCTTTTAACTTCTCATCAGGTCTGAAATCGTATCGCTTCCAGTATGATGCTAGTATCGATTACTTCTGGCATCCGCATCTGGTTATTTATTTGGATGGCCCAGTCAGTGTTATCCGAAATCGCATCAAAAAGAGAAATGTGGTATGAAATTTCTTCAGTTCCTTGTTTTAATGTTAGGAAATCAAATTAACATGTTGCAGTTTTATGGGGTGTTCAGGTAATTCCAGACTGAAGTATTACAACATTTATTAGTAAGAATATCAGAAGATTTGGTAGACACTCAGTGCACAGAAGAAAGAGGAGATGAGCATAAGATCAGCCTACACCTGGCATCATTAGTATTGGAAATGTGCTGACTGCTGAAAAAGGTGATGGAGTGTTTATGGGAATGTCTCTGGTACTATGGAATCAATTCTTAACTCTCTTAACTCTTTGAGTCCCAAGAAACGTATCATATCAGGGTTCGTAGTGGACCGGGAAATCGGGAAATTACCGGGATTTTTTTCGTTGACCTTAAAACCGGGATTTTTAGCTTATAAAAGATATTCCGACCTTGAAAAGCCGTGAATTTTGACCGCGGCAATGAAATCGTCAGAAATCCGGTGTTTTTCAAGCACAGGCAATTTTGGGGGAGCCATTTGGCTTTTTTGGCCATTTGGCTAGTTTTTGGCTACTTTCATTGTATGGTCGTTTCAGGTGTGAGGGCAGCTGATTATTGGCTATTTTCAGCCGAAATGGCTTGTTAAAGGCCAGGGGAGGGCGGGCTTTGTTACAGATCATGAATACATGCAGACAGCAGCAGTGTGGCATGGGGCGGGAAGGAGCAGCTTCCTTCTCGCGTGTGTGTGTGTGTGTCTTTGTTTCTAGCAAGTCCGGCAGAATGAACAGTTTAAATCGTTTATGGCCGTGGTTTCTAGAAAGGATTACATTGGGAGATGGTGGGGCTTGGTTCAGTTGTATTTATAAATAGAGTCGCCGTGGTGGGACTAAGCACGGCCTTCTCTATTAATTAGAGATGGCATTGGGGCTAAGAAAAGTGACTGCAGCTGGATTTCCCAGTTCTATTTTTGGCCTGGATTTATCTTTACAGTGTGTTTGGCGATCAGTATTGTAATTCCCCGAGATTCCCTCTTCTGTTGTCTCACTCCTCTCTCTCTCTCTCTTCCCTCCCTCTTTCACTCTTCTACCTATTGCTCCTTCCTTCCCGTCTCCTGCATTGTCTCTAACCCTCCCTTCTGATCTTCATCTTCTTCTCTTTCTCTCTATCTTTCCTTTTACTCTCCCATTTCCTGTCCCCCTCCCCCTTTTTCCTATTTTATTTCTTGTTTAAATGTTTAGTAAATGTGCGGCTCCATAACTCTTCCTAGCAACTCAAGTACACAGGAAGTTGTATTGGGGGGGGGGGGGGCATTCTGTGTGAACATGGTGGATATTTTGTGTTTGTTTTCCTAGCGGCCTTAATCTCTGTCCATCTCCCTTCCCGCCCCCTCACATTTTGTCCTACCTGTTCCTCACTCTCTGCCTGTCTGTGTCACTGCTTTCTTCTTTCTCTTTGTATTTGCCACTCTCCCTCACCCTCTCTCTCTCTCTCTCTCTCTCTCTCTCTCTTTCTTTCTCCATACCTTCAGTTGGTGTAGAAGGTTATGTGTTGCCTAGTGCAGAACATTTCATGTCCACCATTCCCCCTCCCACACATTAAATATATGTGTACTTTTAAAAACACATTTGCCGTCACCCCCCCCCCTTTTTTTTTCTCCTCCCACATTGATGACACCTAGGGGAGGGAGTGCACCCCTTCCTGCTACCTTCTTCCCTCTATATCTTATTTCTTACTCCCTGTCTCATTCCCACTTTATTTTCTTAAACTTTATTCTCTCACCTCCTCTGTCTCACCCTTACCACCTCAGCCTTCTACACCACTTTCCACCACCTCCTCTCTCCCCTCCTTTCTGTAATTGGAAAACCAGAAATAAAACGAAGTCCACTGCTGCCTTGACCTATTTATGTGTGTGGGTAAACTTCTCTATTTTCCACCAGTGGTGGGTTGGGATCCCCTGGACTTTTATTTTCTTCATAAAATGACCTTGGCTCTCAGGTCACCAGCCTTAAGTGTAAGAAATTGAATTATTGTTGTCACACACAGATAGGACAAGCAAGGGGCAGTAGGGGTTAGCACTGTTGTTTTTGGACCACGGCCACATTCACATGGCCACATTCACATTGAGAGAGGGTACACTCATTGTTCTTACACCCCCCCCCCCACCCACCCCCACAACCGTGTCTTACCTTTCTTCTCTCACCCCTTCTCTTTCCTTTGATCTTCTTCTATTCTCCTTTCTCTCTCCATTCTTCCTCTCTTCCTTTCCTTGCCCTCTCTCCTGTCCCATCTCTTCTTTGTCTCCTCTCCATCCTGTCTTTTCATTTTCTCTAGATTTCCTTACCCGCTCCCCTCTCTCATTCTTCCCCCCCCCCCATCATTTTTTTTTTTACTGGTTCATCTACGTATTTTTTTGCCCCATAACTATCTTTTCCTAGTGGTTGTGTCCACTACACTTGAAATTGTGTGTGTGTGTGTGTGGGGGGGGGGGGGGGGAGTAGGTGGCTGTTTTTTTTCTTTGATGTATCTTGTCTCCCTTCCTGCCCCTCTCTCTTAATCTGTGTTTGTCACTGCCTTCCTTACCCACCTCTCTCTCTCTCTCTCTCTCTTGCTTTATGTCTGTTTGCCTCCCTTCATCACTTCCTCTTTGTATACCTCCCTCCCATTCTCCTGCTCTGCCTTTTTTCTCTTTCTTTGGTTCTCTCCCTCTGTCTGCTTGCCTCTCTGTGCTGTCCCTTTGTCTCTCTCTCCTTTATGTCTACATCTCTCTCTGCTTGCATCTGCTTCTCACCCTGTCCGTTCTCTCTCCCTCTGTCTCCCTTCTTTCAACTCTTTGTCATATTTTCCTCCTTCCATATCTCTATTTCGTTCCCTTTTTCCTTCTCTTTTCATCTGCCCATCTCTGTATCTGCATTCCCTCTTTCTGTATTTTTTTCCCTCTCTGTCTTTCGCTGTTCCTTCCCCACTTTTCCTCATCATGTCTCCATCCCTCCCTCTCATTTTTTCCTCCTTCCCCAGACTTCTTTTCCTTCTTTTCTCTACCTTCATCTGTCCATCTTTACACTGTCTCTCCCAGCCTACCTCAGCATGTGTCTTCCTCTCTCTTCATGACTCTCTCTCTCTCTCTCCCCTAACCCTCTCAGGTACCAGGTCCAGAACAGACAGGACTTCAGTTTGCTGCCCTCTACCACCAAGCCCTAAAAAAAATTTCAAACACTATATCAAGCTCAGGGGCCGACCAGCACGAAGATGGGCACAGGATATAAGTGACTCCTTGAGTATAAAAAAGTACATGAGACGGGAGAGCTGGTGAGAGACCGAGGTTTTTTTGTCAGGACAAAGGAAATGCTACATGATGATGATATCTGTGCTGGTATACCAACACATGTGGCACAAATGAAGTACCTTGTCTGTCAGTACACCCTTGAACAAGTCAAAAATCTTGTTTCAGTATTACACCGAGACAACCTTGAAAAAAACTAAGGAGACCTTGAAAAAGACCTTGAAAAGCCTTGAAATTGATTGGTAAATTTGGCTATGAACCCTGCATATGTTCATAGATTCCAATCTAGAGGCCCAGTGAATGCAAGATGCGCCGATTTTGCGTCTCTCTGCTACCACATGGGCCTCTGATGCTAAACCCCCTGGGACTCAAAGAGTTAAGAAAGATATCATACTTTACGGCTCACACTGAGTGTTGTGGGGATGTTAAAAACAGCCACATTATTCTTCCTCTTCTCTTGCCTCGGCGAGTGTTGGAGGGAGATCTTATTAAATCTGCGCCTTTTTTTTTAAGACATTGCATAAGTTGGTCTTTTAAATCTGTTCTCAGTGTTGTTTAATATTTTGCCTATTTTTTCCCTCTTGATCTGTGTTCATTAACATCATGGCTGTCGGGCAGTTCGTACCAAGGCATACTCGTTAGATGGCTAATCCATCTCATCTGTTCTTGAATTATTTGACTGGTTTCAGTCCAGGTCCTTTTCTTTTTCTTTTTTTCTTCTTCATTTTTAATTTTGTGTCTTCTGATTACCCTCGCAGCTCTCCTAAAACATGCATCTCTGTTAGTTATAGCTGATTAGTTATAGTGAGTGTCTGTGTTTGACACGGAGCATGTGTAATGTGTTTACTTAAATCTTTCTCCTTATGTCTGCACATGGATCTCTTAATCAGAACCTTTTTTATTTAAAAATAACACAGGGTGTCTCTTTTTATCATAACCTTATTTAATTCACAACAGAGGGCGCTTCCCATGGATCTATCCTAATCATAATCTTATAATTCATAACAACATATTATATGCGCTTATTGAGAAGTGGATTTGTCACTGGCTGGTGAACTGGATAGCAGCTGTCCTGCATTCATGTATGGTTGCCCTTTGCCTGGGCACATGGACCTCAGAACTACATAATATTGCCCCAGAACCACCCCAGGGTTCTGCATTTTCACCAGTGCTCCTCAATGTGTATACAAGCAAGACTGCAAAACGTGAAGCACTAGGTGTTGAAAGGATAGTGACATTTGCAGATATTGTTCTTGTTTATTAGCAGGGGAGTGATGGGCAACAGACAGCCCAAGATTAGTTAGTTAGTTAGTTAGTTAGTTGGGTTATCCTCATTGCACTCCGGACATGTCCATAGGTGCTCAGATCCTCCCCTCAGTATGAACCCCAACGTCCGATGGCTAATAGTACCAGTTCTATGTTGATTAACAAGTCTTCTGGCGTAGCTGGTGTGCGTCTCGTTTTTTGCTGTGCCGATCTTAATTCCCAAGTCTGCCATTCTGGCGAGTGATGTGGATTCACTGCCACCAAAGTCCTCTATTCTTCCCATTTCTCTGAGGGCATTGATAATATCAGCATGATCCATAGGCTGACCGTCGGTAGTGATAGCGGATCCAGCCAACCTGTCAGCTCTTTCATTTCCATCGACGCCTGCGTGTCCCGGAACAAAAATAAAGGTGACTCCACGAACAGTGGACTTCTGTAATGATTCAAGCCATTGTCTTCGCACTGAACCTGCCTGAACCCTCCGGATCATACTCATTGAATCACTGAGTATACACACGCGGGTGTATTTTTGTGTTTCAAGCCAGGCAAACGCTTGTGTCACTGCCATCACCTCCATCGTCATGCTGCTGGTTGTCATGGAGAAGGCGCCGTTGGCTTCTTTGACTGTTCTGCCCGCTGAGCGTGCTGTAAATGCCCATGCGCTTCTTCTTTGGCGTATAACGGATCCGTCTGTATAGATTATTGCATCTGCTTCGACTGAATTTTCACAGCCCAAGAGCTACAGGCAACTGTAGATAAAGTGACTAACTGTTGTGCAGAGATGTGTGCTGTTGTTGATTTAGAAAAAGGAGCTGTTTTATGGTGCTTTCTGGACATTAGAATTATAAATGCTAATGTTCCAAGCCACACAGTTAATAACAGAAACATCAAAAGAGAAAGCAAAGATACCAGGTTATTATTTTTTTGATAGAAGCCTGTCCTTCAGGGATCCTGTGGAGGCAGTTATGGTAAAATGCCAAAAAGGACTAAATGCTGTCAAGATTATAGCAGCAATGGACATACACCAAAGAATGATGTTCTAGCATGGGATCCTGTCGGCGATAGATTGTGGACTTAGAATGCTAACCATATCAAAGAGTCAGCTGATGAAACTTGAACTTATAGAGAATGAAGCCATGTGGGTAATTATGTGATGTAAAAGTAACACCCTGGTAGTATGTATGTGATTTATACTTGCACTGCTTACTACATCAGCAAAGTCACCTCTCAAATTAGCTACAAACAGGAAACATCTCCTGTATGAAGCCCTATAAGAACTCACAGACTAAAAAGGAAGATCTTTGGTGGTGCAAGCTAAAGACCCAATAAGATGTGTGCAGGCTTGATAAATCTAGGCAAATAGGAAGTGGGTAAAAGTGCCAGAACAAGAATCAGAATTGTGTGGGGTTATAATCACTTCAGGTCATGAGTGCAGTGACTGGCTAGATGATGTTGCAGAATGAGAAGTTCAACAAATGATTCATGGCTGTTCCCTCCCAGGTGATGTGATTATCTATATAGGTGGCTCTGTGTTGAGAGGTTGACAAAGTGCATGGGGGTTCAAAGCAAAAGCACGTCACTTAGTGCCACAAAGCCTGGCATATGGTATTACAGTGAAGATAGAAGTAATCACTCCTGCCTTCCACTGGCTTGAGAATTAGCTGTACATACATGTCATAATTTTAATTGACTCACAGAGCATGTTGAGAAAGGTGAAGACAGGCATGTTCTATGCAAAGTGGCAAGCATCGCTTCAGAGGTCCCGGCTAGTTAACGTCCCTTGGATATTTTCATCCCGGTGTGTTGGGAGACAGGCAGGCAGACTGGCCGGTTCTGCACCACTTGGTGATGAATTGTTGTATGACAAACTAGATGTTGTGAGGGCCTTTTGGGAACAAGAGAAAAGTAAGGAGGCACAAATAGATCATTACGGCCTGAGCAGAGTAGTGCTGCGGGGAATTACCAGGGACTCTGGCCGACGCTCAGCACTCATGGGAAAGGTGAGATGGATGTGCAATCAGTCAGTTACTGGTGCCATCAGAATTGAAACTCTTTGCTTGCTGTTGAAGATTGGGACAGGCCGCTTATGGGAGTGACCCGGATGCTATGATGTCGATTCTTAATTCAACATTCAACATAATAACATAGGCACTTCAAATGGGTCTCTTTTAATCATAAACTTATTTGATTCATAAGACATGGCACTTCACACGGGTCTTTTTTCTTTTAATCATAAGCTTTTTTAAGCATAATAACATAGGGCACTTCATATGGGTCTCTTAATATTAATCTGATTTAATTCATAATAACACCACACTACACTACTCTGTTGGTGACCTTTTTATTGAAAATTTGTATCGTAATATAAAGCAGTTCACATGGGCCTGCTATAATCATAACCTCCTTATAATTTATGCCTTATGACGTTAGTTGTATTGTTTTTTTCCCAGCCTTCTGTCTTGTATACACCCAATTACTTCTGACACAGATGTTCTTCCATACCATTATGCCAAACTGTACTGTCCTCTCTGGGGTCCAATCTCTTGGCATTTTACTTGCTGAAGTGTTATCTGTTTGTGTTTTAGCCATGGGAGGTGAACAGCCCTGTCTTGACAGACAGCTTCCTGCAAGCTATCAGTGACTCGTACAACAACCACTATCTACCCTTCATGAAGTAAGTAACTGTTACATTGCAGACATGCCTTTTAATTCATTGTTTTGTTCACAGTCATAGTTTCCTGCAAGCTTATTAGCCATTCCTGCAACAGCCACTTCAGAAATCAGTGGCAAACTACTGAACATAAAATTACCTAGTAAAACCAGAACAGCCAACAAATTCTGGTGTTGATTCTGTAACATCCTATAAAGCATTTGCGTCTAACAACAACCACTATCTACCGTCATGAAGTAACTGTTACAATGCTGACATACCGTTCTACCTTGTATTGTTCAGGTTTGCTCCATGGTGGTATAAATGTTATTCTCTTCATTTCTTTGTGGCTGTGTGGCTTAGGTGTTAGTTGAATGTTGAATTAAGAATCGACATCACAGCACTTGGGACACTCAGTCCCCATCCTCAGCAGCAAGCGAAGAGTTTCAATTCTGATGGCACCAGTAACTGTCTGATTGTATATCCGTCTCATCCTTCCCCTGAGTGCTGAGCGTCGGCCAGATCCCCTGGTAACTCCTCGCAGCACCACTCTACTCAGTCTTTAATGATCTATCTGCGCCCCGCACTGTTCACTCGCTCCCAAAGGGCCCTCACAATATCTAACTTGTCATACATCAATTCACCACCAAGTGATGCACAGCCAGCCAGTGTATCTGCCTGCTCATTTCTTAACACTGGCATGACCTGAAGAAAATATCCAAAGGATGCTAACTATCTGGGACTTCTGAAGTGATTCTTGCCACTTCGCACGAAGCATGCCTGTTATATCTGCCTGCTCATTTCCCAGCACACCGGCGTTACCTGTAGAAAATATCCAAAGAATGCCAACTACCCGGATTTAACATTTTTATGATCCTTGAGGACTAATGTTGGATTTCCACAGCAGGTGGCTTGTTATTTTTTAAATTGCTCTTAAGGTTTTCAGATCCTTGTATGACATTTACTCTATGGAGGAGATTGGGATCTCATCATATAATGTTCCCAAAAACAGCCGTCGGTACGCCGCAGCCAACCAAAGACGGCACACTCTTTTTTCTTTCATCTCTGTTTCTGTGACTTGTGGACCATTGTGGTGCAGTGGCTAGATGCTCCCCTCAGGCCTGGAGGTTGTAGGTTCAAATCTGCATTGCACTGGATTTTGTTTTACCAATGACTTTGCCTCGTGGGTTAGCCTGGCCTAAAATAGGTACCAGGTAAAGTCTTGGGAAGTAAAGGTGCCCGGCGTGATGTTGAGCATATCCCCCGCTAAGTGCTGATTGGTTTATAAAATATAGGTCGAGCACTGTATGCCAAATACACCTAATGGCGTGGAAAAGAGCCTGTCTTTGTTTTGTGACTTAGCAGTCATGAATGCAGTGTCACAATCATGATATACCAGATATAAAAATTAGCTGCAAGCACTTTATTAGCAAGCAGACCTGTTTTCTTTGATTTGGATTAATAGTGAGGCACCGTTCAGAAACCAATGACTAACTGATTGTGAAATTGCCTGGTTAAAAAAAAAAGCATATAGTGGTTCACAACTTCTTTCTCTGACTCTTTCTCGATCCTTTTCTTTCCCATTTTCCTCATTCTCTCTCTCTCACACACACACACACAGACAGTTGTATATGTCCCTGTAAGCATACTGATAAATAACACCACAATGATTCTCTAAGCAAAATGGCAATTTTGATTGCCAGTTAATAGTTGTTTGAAAATCTTGTTGTTATTATTTATTTTGTACTTTCTGAAAAAAAACTGTCATAGTTCACAAATATTAGATATATTTACTCTAAAAAGAACAGCAGATACGTATATTGTATTCATTCTGTTCCACGTCATGTGGGAAATTGTTATAATTGTAAGTCTTATTTCTGTGCTCGCCCTTAGAAAGGCAGTTGGAACATTATGTTTTGGATTACAACTAGGCTTTGATATCTACACATTTTGTCCCACCACATCCAATTTTAGTAAACACTTAATCAGTTTTCTTTTAGAACATGCTTGCTAAAGGGCAGTAGGAATATTTTTCTTTCCAAAATGGAGCCCTGGAACCCACTCAAGGATAACTCGGGAGAGGGGGGGGGGGCTGTCATTAATTTGTCTTTATAGTTAATATTTGAACGTTGTATTTGAAGCACTCCAGTCTAGGAAACTATCAGAATTGCAAACACTGCTGACACAACTCAGCCTTCAGCGAAGAGTCGTAATGTAGTGGATACCGTCTCATTGTGGAGTGCCTGGAAATGAGAAAGCTGATCAACTGGCAGGGGAAGGTGCGACAAAAGAGCAGCCGGATCTACCAGTCACATACCACCAAAAGAAAAGAATCATTAAATCGATCAGGATATCACCAGCCCCAGCACAAGACGACTATTTTATTATGGACAGACCAGAACAAGTCATTATCCTCCGCCTCAGAACAGGGTACAACCGATTACTTAACCACATGTACACAAAATTCAAGATAGGTGTATCAGCCATGTGCTCCTGTGGAAATGTGCCCCAGACAGCAGAGCATGTACTCCAGGACTGCACCGAATTTGACACATTAAGGCAAACCTTTTGGCCAGAAAGAACAACAGTGGAATATAAACTCTATGGACCACTGAATGAACTAACAACGACAGTGAAATTTATATAAGAGACAAAACTGCTGATATAGACAACCTATTTCAGGCGAACGAAAGAAGAAGAAGAAGTTGAATTTTAACCATGGCAACTTATAGATGCGAGCAATGGACTCTTGCTCAGTCTTTTAAGAAAAAAAAATGTAAGCTTCTGAACTGAAAAAGCTGCAGAAAAATTCGTAGAATGCCATGGGCCAAAACAAAGAAAAAGGCTAACATTCTACATGATCTCAGCATCAAAGAGAACTGGCTCATAAACAGAATCCTGTCCCAAAAGCTTGGGTATTTTTTTGGGGGCCATGTTAAATGTCATAATGACCTGAAAAGAACAGTGATAGAGGGTGCAGAAAATGGGAGCTAAGGCTGACCTCCGGAAAGGTGGATACAAAAAACTGAAGATGTTTTGGTTGTGAAAACACAAGGGGCTAGAGAAAGAGTCTTTCAGGTGTGTTATGATGAGAGGGGAATTCTGTAAAGGATCTTGGACTGATGATAATGTTGATAGTTATAACATGCTTGCTGGGTAATTAGAAAACCTGGCTGTTATGGAAGAGACCCTGGATTTGAATCAAAGATAGTCACTTGCCTAAAAGTCTGAGTATTAAGGTCAAGAAAACAAACTGAAAACATGTTGATAAACATTTACAGGAGGCAGAGATATGGTTTCAGTAAAGAATGCAAATCGTATTATAGATGGATAGAAAAACAAAAGGCACACTCCTCATCGAGAGAGATGAAAGTCTCAGACTTATCAGAAAAATTAGACTTAGATGGCTGATTTTTTTTTAACATGTTATGAGGAAGAATGAACTAGACAACTTGGTAACAACTGGTAAGATTGATGGGAAAAGGTAAAGGGATAAATACCTGGATGGCCTGAACTAATCTGTGATTCTGGTGATCGTGTGAGATGGCGAAACATAACAGCCTATGCTTACCAGTACGGCACATGGTGGTGATTAAGGTTATCAAAATTGTTCCTGTATGTATAATTTGGTCTTGTTCTTACCTTACAGGAAGTACAGTGAAGTCTTAATTTACAACCTAGAGGAGAATGAAGAAATTGATTTTGATGTTGTAAGTTTTTATAAAGTGATGTTTAATTTTTTTTTTGTAAATTAAGTTTAGTCTTTTGGTGCCATCTGTGTAAAATGGCCATTGAGTAATTCACATGTGTCGATTGCTTCACCAAAGCAGTGGTTTCTGAAGTTACTATTGTTATTTGTAAATTTATAAATAAATAATAAATTAAATGTATTTGTGTGTGCATGCACGCACACAATATATATATATATATATATATATATATATATATATATATATATATATATATATATATATATATATATATATATATATGCTTAGAGTGACTAACTGGAAAGAGAAGGCCCACTAGAGAGATGAATGGAGGATATCTGCAGCTGTGAACCTCAAGGGCTCGGAATGCTGAAGAAGAAGAAGGTATATAATTATAATTTTTTTTATAATTGGCATTACAGCATTTGCTACCAAACTGACCCATCCTAACACTGGTACAAGCTAGTGTCCTAGAGGTGGCCGGCATGATGTCTGCTGCATCATCCCTTGATTACTGATTGGTCCAAAAATATAAGCCTGGTGTCATGCTCGACTCACCACGGACTTAAAGAGAATCCTTAACTTTTTTGGTTTTTTTTAACCTTTCCATGCTGGAAATAGGGCACTTCCAGTAGGGTCCAGTTTCTCATAAATGCTGCTTAACCGGCTGGACTACAGTGACATGTTTACGAGATGCACAATTAATATGATAGGCTGTTTTCATGCCTACGCAGCATCTAGGACAGTGGCCCTCAACCTGTTGGTCACGACCCTTTCATAGGGGTCGCTAAAGATTATCGCAAAATACCTATTCATTAAAGTCATGAAGTGGCAATGAAAATAATTGTATGGTTGGGGGTGAACTGTATTAAAGGGTTGCATCATTTGGAAAGTTGAGAGCCACTGATCTGGGAGGTTAGGATATGGAAACATTTACTTAAAAAAAGAGATTATGTATGTCCTTTTGAACCACATATATATTTTTTTAAACCTTGCTGACATCAAATTGTCTTCATAGCCTCTGACAGAGATCACAGGATGACGGCACCCCATGTTTTTCTTTGGCCCTGAGAAATGTATTCCTTTTGTTTTTCATCCTTTTATATATCATTTTAATGAAAGATATTTTATTTTTTTTTTTTTGGGTGGGATTCTCATAGCACCCCTTTTTTTTTTTTTTTTAGCGTTACTGGGGTGACAGCGTTAACTTTATTGTTTATAAAAGTATACTGTTTGTTGGCAGCCAGGGTAGATGGATATTTCTTTCGTTTCTTTAAGCAGAATGATAGTCAACTTCTTCTTTGTTTGCCTTAGGGCAGTTGACACACAGTGTTGTAGTTTTTAGTCCTTAGGCACAATACGTCCAATTTCAGCAAACCTGTTGTCACCTTTTTGCAATATGTATATTATGGAACAGTGGGTCTATTTCTTTCTTTCTTTTTTTTTTTATCTCCTGAAGTAGGGCAGTTGACACAGTGTTGTAGATTACTGCTAGGCTGCAATATTAATATGTAGATTAAGGAACAGTGGGTTTGTTTCTTTTTTCTTCTAAAATAGGGCAGTTGACACACTGTGTTGTAGTTTACAGCTAGGCTGCAATGTCAGTATGTTGATCCAGGAACAGTGGGTTTGTTTCTTTTTTCTTCTGAAATAGGGCACCAGAACTCACATAATGACCCTAGTCAACAAAAACCCAAAGAATCTGGATATGTTAGTTGAAAGGTGCACATATCGCAGCTTTGCGCTTTAGTTACATCCCAGCACACAGGAAATTGGACAAACAAAGAATACGAAGGGTTTTGTTGTTGTTGACTTTGTAAGATGTCAGAAGAAAACAGTGAATCGTTATCAGTAAAAAAATTTTTCTTTGTTAAAGGTTAGAGAAGAACTGGAAAGTCTAGACTTGGACACCCCACCACTGGAATATCCACAGCGTTTCACCAAATGGAAGGAATTGCTTGAAAAAGATTACAACGCCATGCGCAGTTTGTAAGTGGCATTTGTCAGTTAGTAGAATTGTATTTAAAGTCGTACATGAGATCTTTCAAGCTCATTATACTTGGTTATATCTTTAAAGGAAAAATCTGTGGTAGTGCAGTCGCTTGACTCTTGCCTGAAGCTTTTGAGTTCAAATCCGCATCTAGCCAAATTGTTAACAGTTGACCTATGTTCCCATGTCAATACCAGACTAAAATTCTTCATAGGAAGTAAAGATCTTGAATGCATCACTAATGAAGTCCTTGTTTGCTAGTTCGACCCAGCCTTGAGTGGGTAGCACTTGCAGTCCTGGGAAGTAAAGCCAGTCGGCATGATGCTGATCACATCACCCACCAAGTGCAGATTGGTCTTTAAATTATAGATCCAGCCCTGTACGTAACAGATTTTGAATACTTTGGCTTTTTAGTAAACAACAGTGGCGACTGCTCAAAAGAAGTCAGAAGAAGACTTGCATTGGCAATGCAGAGATTAAATAGCATGAAGAACCTATGGCAAAGCACTAGTAAATTGGATAAAGTAAAAATCTTGAGATCATGCATTTTTCCTGTGGCAACTTACAGTTGTGAGTCTTGGACTCTCACTCAGTCACTGAGGAAAAAGACTGGAGCTTTTGAATAGAAATTTTTGAGAAAATTTTTTTCGAATACCATGGATTAGGAAGAGGAAAAACATTGACATTCTGAATGAGTTGAACATCAAGGAGAACTGGCTCATAAACAGCATCCTGTCCAGAAAGTAGAAGTATTTTTACCACATCAAGCGTCATGGTGGCTTGGAAAAGATGGTGATGGAAGGTGTAGTTTGTGGAAGGCAAGGCAGGGGTCGACCACAGCGAAGATAGATACAAGACATTGAAGATGCATTGACATTGAAAGCACATGGGGCTGGAGAGCTGGCTAAGGAAAGGGATACTTTCAGGCGTGCCATGAAGAGAAGCAACGTTCTGTAAAAGACTCGCTGATTGATGATGAATTCATGTGTAATACACAGTGTCATCTTTGAACAACCACTGTTGTGTAGTAGTATTCCAAAGATGTTGCTGTTGTACATTCTGAATTTTGTTTTTAAACTCAATCCTTTTGACTTCCATGACAAATGGTTTTGATTTGCTTTGTTTATTCTTGACTTGAGATTCCTTGTTTTTTTGTTTTTTTAAAGAATGAAACACAATTTAATTTCACAGCATTTCATTTAAGTAAGTAAAGCAGGATCCCCTTTTCATGCAACTGGTGCATCAGGCATATAATGCTAGGCTCATATTTTTATAGATTAGTCAGCACTCAGTGTGGTAAAATCATGATGGCCGCCTTTACTTCCCATTTTAGGCTGGGTGACCTAGGAGCCTGACTTGATGCAGATTCTTCTTCTTCGCATTCACCAGCTGTAAACTCCGGCAGAAAGTTCTGGTTGTTCGTCCACTTCTGGGCTGCAGTCCTGTTTCAGAACCTGTGTGTTGCCTGTGCGTCCGTTTTACAGATCTGACTCATTTGTATGCAGACTGCTGGTTCCTTTCCTCTCAGGCAGATGCACTCCGACTTTGAAGGAAGCTCCCAATTAATCGACTCTTACGATGCTTTTGGGGAGGCAGTGGGTCTATTTTTGTTTTCCTGTTAAAAGGGCCCCAGAACTCACGGGGAGATACAGATTCAGGCCCAGGACCTTTGGGCCAAATTCGGAGTATCCACCAGCTACGCCACCATGACTACTGACTATTAACAAAGGCAAAAAAGTCTTCAGTTAAGCCATTCTGTAGATGTTATTGTGGCCTCATTTTCACATTCTCCCACAATCTTTATTTGCAGCTGTGCAGTCAACAACATATACAGGTTGCATGACATCTTTTCATTTTATCCACCTTATGAGACACCAGAGGTTGTCCTTCAAGGCAATGATTGGCTTGCCTTTAAAAATGTTGTTGAAGAGGTAAGTGTATTTTTCCCTCAAGAGAACTTTGCGAATTTATAATATGGTTTTCTTCATTTGTTTAGTACCACATTTTGTGTGTGTGAAATAAGAAAACAATATACGACATTGTATAAAGTAAACACACTATAATTCAATTTTTAGCTTACTGTAGTATTACGTCGACAGATTCATAAACAGTGAATTGGCAAACATAAACTAGCACAGCAAAATGCTTAGATGTCAGTTTTCCCTTGTCTGCATTTGAGGTATCACTCACTAAATTACAAGGATTTTGGATGTTAATAATTCAGACAAAAAGTTTGCCTTTTAGTGGTATGCTGAACTTTTTTCCAAAAGGGTTTGTGTGGTGAAAGGGTTAACTATACGGTACAAATAGGAAGCTGCTGCTTAGACACAGATGAGGTGCAGCTTTCCTTCTATGGTGGTGGGAGAAATTAACCCCCTACTCTTTGCCCTTTAGCTAGCGTGTAATAAAAGGTAACTAATTATTGAAGGATTTGTTAAGCTGAAAGGTACAGATACTGCGGCTTAGCTGTAAACCACAACAGATGCCAACCATCTTTTTCAAGGGTGAATGCAGAAGTAGAAGAAAAAGTGAACAGAGGCACAATTTGGTAGGCCCCTTCTCTATCTTCTGTCTGCGCTGTCCAAGAACTTTCCACATTCACTCTTCACCCTATTCAATCTTTCAACACTTTTTGCTGACCACAAGTCTGTTGCATTACTGTCTCCCATTATCATGGGTAGTTGAAGATTTTTTTCAAAATAATGGCTTTTTTAAAAATTAAATTCATTAACAATTTAAAAACAAGCGTAAAGTTTTGAAACCTTCAGAGAACTAATGTGAGTGGTTGCTACACCTGAAAAATGATATATTATGCAAATCTGTCACTTGATCATGGTGGCCAACTTGAATATGTTTGGCCATTTATATAAATTTCAGGAGATGTTTTAAAACCAATCTTTTTTCCAGTTTTTAAGCTGGTTTACAACACGTTCCCATACCAGTCTGAAGGCCTATGAATAAATTTGACCTGCATCGTTGTGATCCCTAGTGAGCTTTTTGTACCTGGCATTTCTTGTGTACTGAGAAAGGGGATTTTCACTATACTTATTGACTTCCCAGATCTATGGCAGTGTCAGAGGGGGAAAGCTTGAACAAAATCAGTCGGCAAACACCCAGTTGCGTCTGACATAACTTCTTGTTTTTCGTATGGAGGAAGATTGTCAAGCTCAACAAGTTCATTTTCAGCTGCCTTTCTTAATTTCTAAACATCATTTTCAGCAGCAGAAATGTTCTGGTCTCTTGTGCCACGCCCACTTCTTTCTTCAGATGTAGCTGTATCGCCACTGTGAAACCAATCATAGGCTTAGCCATCTTGGAATAATAAAAATACCCAATGTAGCTTAATTCAAATGCTGTCAGTAAATTTTTAACAATCATCAAATTTGGCCAGCGAAGTGTTAAACCTCCCTAAAAGATTAGTGTTCATTTCTTATGATAAATAACACTTCATTTGCTAATAATTACTGTATAGTTTAAGGGTAAGGTAATCACTGAATATAACATTGGTAGCACTGTATATGTGTAAATCAGTATATATTAAAAAAATAAATCAGTTCTTGTAGAATAAAGACCAGCACTTTCTTAAATTAAAAAAATTGCAACATGTTATTGTTATTTCATTTCCCTCCACAGGATCCACGTATCAAGTACCATCCACAATATCAACCAACTGATTCACGGAGAATGCTGAGAGTGTTTTAGACAATTTTGTCTTTAAATGAGACTTTCAATAAATACAAGTTTCTATAGTCCAGATTCTGAGCATGTATGTTTTCTTTATCCTAGTAAAACTTTCAGGGTTTTGTTAGTAAAAAAGAAACCTTGTTTATGTTTATTTCTGATTGTTTAAAATGTATTTCTTAACTCTTTCAGTCCCAAGGAATGCATCATACATTCATAGGTTCCTTCCTAGAAGCCCAATTAATGCAAGATGTGCCGATTATACGTTTCTTTTTACCACACCTTGGGCCTTTGATGTTAAACCCCCAGGGACTGAAAGAGTTAAAAATAGGTTGTTTCTGGCCTATTAAAGTTAATATTCTATTCGTTTTAGTCATTCAGTGCTAGTTTGTTTGTCATAATATATTTGCAAGAGTGGCATTTATTTATAAATTCTTTAAAAATATTCTGTTTTTGTGTGTCTGCTACCAGAAGGTTTTACAACACACTGAGCCACATTTTGGAAGTCACCCGAACAGGAACATATTCCAAATATCATGATCAACCTATATATACAGTAGATATACAGTAATAGATATATTATTGGGACCTTATGGCTACACCACATATTACCTACTGTAAACAACAATAATGCAGTGGTAGTTTTATTGATACACATAATACTTTATTAAATTTAAGTACAGTGCTTATTGCAGTGTCCAAATAGGTTAAGTAACTAAATCTGTTTTTACTGTTCGGTTTTGCTGTAGTAAAGGGCCCTTTTCACACCAGTGGTGCATCGGGCATATGATTATAGGCTTATATTTTAATCAATGGATAGTCAGTATCACGCTTGCTGCCTTCTCTTCTAAGGACTTTGCGTGGCACTCGTTTTGGCTGGCTCGAGCTGGGAGTCTTATGTATATTTTTTTTAGCCCGAGGCAAAGTGAATTTGAACCTAAGACCCTCTTTTGCTGAAGAATGACATTTAGTGTTATTTTTTTTTATACTGTTATTTTCTTTATAAGGTTTATAAACATTATATCAGGTAGCTATTACAATAAAAGCTTAAAAATATCAAGTGAACGTAAAATAAGATTTAACATGAACACTAAATTTATCATCGATGGGAGATAACCATTAAATATAGCAAAAATATGGCATTCATTGAATTTCTTTTCATAGTCCTGCTATGCTATAATGGTCTTTATGTCTGTCCACAACTTTCTATCTTGGGAACTACAATTATGATTGTATATAAACACAGAAAGTTGTGATTTCCCCTCTGTGTGTGCAGTGTACATCCAGGGAAGATTGGGCTTATAGTAGTATCTCTTGCCTTAGCACAGCTAATATGGTGACTGATTCTTAAAACTTTGCAACTGTTTCACACAAATAGCCACCAACTGTCATGGCTTTACCTATCCTTGATATGGGGTTAAGTGCGGACCCATCTTGCCTATGAGGTACCCAGACTGTATCAGAGAAAAAGAGGTACATCTCTCAGTGGTAGAGTTTACCTTTCCTTGCACCCAAAGCAATAAAGGCATTTGAGAAAAGCGCTCCATCTCCATCTTCAGCAGTAATTGCAGAGCTCCAATTTCCACGGCACCAGTGACAGTTTGATTGTATATCCCTCTCGCCTTTCCCTTGAGTTTTGAGCATCAGTCAGATCCTGTAGTCACCCCTCGCAGCACCGTTCTCCTTAGACGGTTGATGATCCTTTTGTGCCTCGGCACTGTGACCCTTGCAATATCTAGCTTGTCATGCATCAAGTGGTGCAGAACCAGCTAGTCTATCTGCCTGTTCATTCCACCACACCGGCATAGCTGGAGAAAATATCCAAAAGACACTAACTACCTGGGACTTCTTGGGCGATGCTTGTCACTCTGCATGGAGCATTATTTGATGGACATAGGTTATACTAAAAAATGTGATGTAGAAATTACCCACAGTTTCCTATCTGTTACAATGGGAGACCATTAAATGGAAGGCTAACTGTTATGGTAGCCATTGTTTACCTTGTAGATTTGTATGTTCATGTTTGGTAATAAAAGGATGTAGAGAAGACACTAATTCTGTTTTTAATTTGTCAAGTTATCAGAAAAATCTAAAGTGGAAGTAGCATATTTTCTGTGCGAGTAAGGGTGCGATGGCCAGTCTGCGAACATTGAACCAGTATATTCCTCATTTCAACTCAAGAGGATATACTTCAATTTATCACCTTTTTTTTTTAGACACCAGCCTAAAATGGATACGTTAAAAAGTCCTGGGAAGTAAAGGCGGTAGGACTGATGTTGACCACATCACCCACCGAGTGCCGACTGGTAAAAAAATATATAGGTCTAGCACAATGGCGTGGAAAAGGGTCTTTCAGCTAACAAAACTTTACCCCACATGGCTTTATCTTTCTGTAGAATCGCTAGCTGCCTGGTTAAGCATCGCACAAAGCTCCAGTGATAGTTTCCAAAGATCTGTGTAAAACAAATTGCATCCATGAACAGGACAACACAATCTGAAAAGAGCCCATGACTTTTAGAGTGCAAGACAAATGGCTCAACCATAAAGAGCACCCCACCTTCCCCCAATAAAATTACCGGTCGCAATACCAGAAAGTAACATTTCATTCATTTCCATGGCAAATATGAAAATGGTGAAAAACTACTAACAAGAAATACAGGAGTGGTAACATTAAAAAAAAATGATAGGCCAAGCTTTGTCGGAACTAGGTCTATTTCTGCAGATACGGAGCAGTTAGTGGCCTGCAGTCCCGGGAAGTAGAGGCGGCTGGCGTGATGCTGACCACATCACCCATCTTGTGCCGTTGGTCTATAAAAATATAGGTCTAGCCCTTTATGCCCTATACGCCTAAAGGCGTGGAAAAGGGTCCTTTACTTTTCTACTTACTAGTGGCCGGAATTGTAAGAGGGTATTCTTTGTGAAGTTAGCATAAAAATGGTTACACTAAAATGCAACTCAAAGATGCAGATAGTGGAGAATGAGAAGCAGTAACAAAATTCATAATCTGTTCAACTGTTTTGCCCTCAAAATCTTAAAAGGTTACCTTTTTTACAAATTTCTTTTTAAAAAATGCATCATAATTCCCTGAAACTTTACCTTAAAAAACCAGAGGAAAAGAAAAAGAAGCAGAAAAAATTTAGTCTTGGCCATTTATTTTGTATGTGTTTGTGTTGTTATAAATGCAGAGGGTTTAAACCTATGACCACCGTGCAGACAGGCAAACTTAATGGCCTCTGTGATATCGCTGCTGTCAACCCACTAAAAAATTTTTAGGGCCTTTTTAGTCACTTTTTTTTTTTTACATAAAAGAAAGTAATCACAAAATACAGTCAAAGCAAAGAAAGAATCAACTGCTTTTTAAATTGACATCAAAACGAAAACAAAAAAAAAGAATCCCCCCCCCCCCCCCCCCCCCCCCCCCCCCCCCAAAAAAATTGTTTCAAATTGTTTTTAAGTAAATTTTATCATACCCATTCCAACATGTCTGCACATTATGCAGTTGTAACCAGTACCAAAGCTTTTTATAGTATCACACTGCCCAGAGACATGGTGTCACAAAAATTCCACAAAATACAGGAAAAGTGGCTTTCTTTGAGCGACAGCGTTAAGCCATCAATTACTGGTATCATGAGAGCTGCTAGATTGCAGTGGTTGGGGTATATTTAATTAAAGGCAGATAGCTAAGAGGCTCATCGGTGACCGGGTTGCCCACTGGCTTGCCGGTAGACAACTTTGTTGTCGGTCAATATTTGGGTCTGTCTCCTTTGATCGCATCAATGCTGCAGGAGTACTTTTCAGTGCTCTTGGTGGCTTGCAGTGCTAAGCCATTTTATTTGGCGCACATAACTTAGTCACAATTATAACATAAAGCTGCCACTTCAAGGATGCTGGTGGAATGTGATAATTTTTTTTTCTAGCAAAGCACCTACCTACCAAGAGACACGACATCAGGTTACTTTGTAACCATTGGGGTCCCTTTATAACTTTATGGTTGAATGGGGATCTGGGATTTATTCCTGGTGGATTTTCATCTGAGTAGTGACACTTTGGACTTTGCCTCACCGGGTGTTAATCCCTCAGTGTCCAGTCTTGGTGGGGTTCAGCTTCACTCACCAAGAGACAACAGCTGTTTACTCAAAAGCACACCAAAAACATGGTGAAGAGATTACATTCAGGCAGACTTAAAAACACTTTTGGTCACCAACTGGAAAGAGAAGGCCCTTTACAGAGATGAATGAAGACAAATGATATCTGTAAAAGGAACTTCAAGGACTGAAGAAGAAGATATCAGTCACTATATGTGAAGCTATAAACAGGAACATAGACAAAGGAATATTATTATATCACACAGGAATGGATTTTTATTTGCTTTTTAAACTTGTGGCAATGTTGTTTCTGAGATGCCAGTAGGTAGGTAGTTGTACCCCACCAGGACATCACACAAGCAATAAACACCTGGTGACATAAAGTGCCACCATGCGGATGAGGATCACCCGTGGAGAGGTCCCAGAAACTCTTTTCAGCCATTAGGCCACATCTATGTCCCGGCTATATTCAGGACCCCCGGCAAAAGCCAGGGTTTGGCTTCAAACAAAAAATTGCATCCCAATTTTTTTCGGATGACAAGATACCAGTACCTTGGACTGCCAATATAACTAACAAAGATTGCCTAGAAAAGGCTTGGGATGGTTGAATATGAAATTATTTGTGTGTCATTTGAAGGACATTGAAGAACCAACCCCAGCTTTTTTAGGCTGTTTTTATTATTATTTTCAGTAGTTTTCACAGGACAGAATGGAATGGAGGAATATATTGTGGGACATATTGGCACAGTAGGACAATGGTGATGATGATGAGTTTGCCATTGCTCACTGAATGGTTGGTTCTCCATACCATTTTCAAAAGCAATTAAAAATCTGTCTGCTGCCAAACTGCCTTACAGATGAAATCGAACTGCGATCTTGGAATTATGAAGAGCTATCTCAACACCTAAGCCACAGATGCCGCAGAATAGTATGTGC